GGTGTGGGTTCAATTCCAGACCTGAAGGGCAGCTAGGGGCCATAGTCTCAGTGGTTCCACCAGGCACTATTGGACCAGCAAACCTGGTCCCAACTGTCTTTTTTTTTTTTTCCCCTTCAAATGATTTTGAGTTTTGTTCCACATTGTTCTCCCTCTCTATCCAGGATCTTCTATATCCCTTCCAAGTGGATGACAGTGGTAGCCGGGCACCATCTAGTTCTTCTGGTCTCATAGTTGTATAGGAAGCAGATCGGCTGGTGTACCAGTCACTAGGACCGATTGTTTCCATTAATTTTGGTTTTCTTCTTTCTTCTTTGCTCTTGACGAGGAGAGACCCATTGTTGCATCTAGCTGTCAGCTTGCTAGCTTTTAAGATCCCAGTCATTACTCACCAAAGTAGGAGGTCGAACAACGTTTTGTATAGTAACATTTTACATTATCTTTTTATAGTAGAACTTTTAGGGGTCTGGGTCAGAGCAGACTAGAGTTGACTCAAAATGTTCATAGTCTGGTAGTCTGTAACCCTCTGCCTTACAAAGTACGGCTCAGGACTGGAAGGACTCAGGGCAGTGCCAGTGCCAGTGCCAGCTCAGCCCCTTGCCAGCTTGGTGGCCTTGGGCAAGTCAGTCCCCTTCTCAGAGCCCTTGTTGTGTCATGTGTCTAATGAGCAGCCTTTTCCTCTTGCATACTTGTGTGTTTCCCTGGCCCTAAGGCTGAGTCTGCTGGGCACCCCTGACTAGGACTTCACCTCCTCCCCAGCCTGGCCTGGTCCTCCTGTGGGCTGGGAATGAGAGGGTCCTTGGTTCTGCTTTCTCTACCCTTTCAGGGACCGGGCCAGCCTCCAGCTCAACAACCGGAGGCTGGAGCGGAAAGTGAAAGAGCTGGTGATGCAGGTGGATGATGAACACCTGTCACTGACTGATCAGAAGGACCAGGTGAGGGGCCCTCTGCAAGTTCACTCTCAGCTGAGACTTTGTCTCAGGCTGGGGACACAAAAGGGAAGAAAGGCCTCATCTGGCAAGTACTGGAGTTATGGTGGGCTGACACATCTCTTTCTACTCCACCCAGTTAACATCAGAGAATGGGAAGGGGAGGAGGCTTTCTAGCCTACTTTAGTAGGGGATTTGAGCAAACTTCAAACCCAGAATTTGGCTTTTAACAATAGATTTGTCTGTCAGAATCCTATCTCCATTTTTCCCATGAAGCTGGTTGCCCCCTTTGCCTGTATTTTGGTTGCCTAGAGAGAAGGTGGCTGGACTGTGATCTCCATGATAGGACTGTACTCTGTCTCAACTGAGCTGGACCATCACCCAGCACTCATCCCGCCCTCTCTCCCATTGCAGCTGAGCTTGCGCTTGAAAGCAATGAAGCGACAGGTGGAGGAGGCTGAGGAGGAAATCGACAGACTGGAAAGTTCTAAAAAGAAGCTGCAGAGGGAGCTGGAGGAACAGATGGATGTGAATGAGCAGCTGCAGGGACAGCTCAATTCCATGAAGAAGGACTTAAGGTGGGCCAATGCTGTGACCTCATACGGACTGACCATCCCCCTGACATCCAAAGAGAGTGATGCTTTTCAGAGCACTCTCACTTCTTGTGGTCTTGAGCCAATTCCTCCTTATTGCCTTTTGGAGTGATGCTGTTTTAGAGATGAGAGTGGCTATGGCCTCATGTATTCAGTAGGGTCTCACTTATTCCATCCTCATACCGATGCCCCCATGTCAGCAGGGAAGGCATTATCTTTGCTGTACATAAGAAGAAATTGGGGCTCTGAGCAAGTAAGACTAGCTCACACCATCACAGAGGGGCACTCCCTGGACTAGCACTTACCACACCTACTTTTGTCTGACTTAGGTAGAAATAAGGTTAAGTTTTGATTAATCTCCTCATGTGGACTAGGTTAGCCCAAGCCTGGTTTTGGGAGAGAGCTGCTCTCTGTAGTTCCCCTGCCACGGTCCTAAGGATAGGGAGATGGGGGTGGTGGTGAGGGGTTGAGTAGCTTGCTTTCTCTGCCCTCAGGTCATTGTCTGGGTGTTGAGGTGAAGGGATGAGATTAAGTTCATGCTCATCCATACAGCTAAGTCTTTCTTATAGGCTGGCTGTGATCTGGGGCACTGTGCTGACCTTCCTGCCTTCAGCAGACTGCTTAGGTAGTTTTCTTATAAATTTATGCAAGACTTCAGCCAATTGAGAATCTTGGAAAACAGAGTCTCTCTATGGGAAACCTGACCCCAGGGATGGCTCTAGGATAAAATGAATGAGACTCTCGGCCTTGGGCACAAAATATAAGGGGATGCCAGAGCCTCAGTCATCAAGATAATATTTTATTATAATAGTGTAAAAATTAAAATGATTGCAAACAAACTGTGATGAACAAAATATCAAATTTTAAAATAAAAACAGCATCAGTAACAACCCTGAACTAAGCCATATTGGAACCTGAGACCAAAGGAAAAATCAGTGATACTGAATCTGTTCCAACCCTGTCTGGTCAACTTTATAAACACATGCCGAAGGGTGCAAAAATCTGCTTCCTGTTGCTAAAGTCAGGGAAAGACTAGTTAAGCACCTATGCTTATATCCCACTCATTGGGCAGAGGGGCAGGAACCTGAGACCCAGGCTCCATCTCCACATCAGCAGTAAGCAGCCAGTCCAGGGCTAGGAATCATGTCCTCTGTTGTTTCAGCAGACTTAAGAAGTTCCCGAGTAAAGTGCTGGATGACATGGATGATGACGATGACCTCAGCACAGACGGGGGGAGCCTCTATGAGGCACCCCTGAGCTACACCTTCCCCAAGGACAGCACCACCACCAGCCAGATCTGAGTCCACCTCCAGAGCTGTTGAAATGGCCCATCCTTCTTAACAGAAACTCTGCCACCACACCAAGCAGGAGGCAGGGAAGGGAGTGTCCATCTGGAGTCAAGACCCATCACCTCTTCTTCACATAATGTGCCAATTCCTTAATGTGTATTCCTTCTTAGGAGTTCTAAGTGTTAGGACAGCTCCTGTATCTTAGGTTGTTAATGAATTTTAAAATGTTGAGAAGTAGGAGCCACTACCCATTGGTATGTTTGGAAAAATATAATTTGTTAGGATGGTGCCTCCATTCTGTACAGCTGTCTGCTGTTACCTGCTCCTGTCTCTCTTTTTTTCACCCCCTGCCAAGAAAAAAGGGTCCATAATGCTAGCTATTATTGAATAGCCATTGTGCAGGGAAAGTGATGTATAAGTTGTAAATATTTTAAGCCAGACCTTTTCTTGGACTGCTGCTATTCCATTTTGGAATGCTACCAAGGCTTTGTAGGATGGTTTATTTGTAAAGTTCACACATCTATACTATTATTTTTTTAAATATGAATCTACTAGATTTTAAGTGTTCAGGAGCAGAGGCGAGAGAGGGAGAGAAGGTAGAATAAAGCCACTTTGGAACTCAGAGTTGGAAGGGAACAAATCGTCTTTGTGATGATGGACAATCAATGCCAAGGAGAGAAATGCAAGTAGTCTTTGTAAACATCTTACTGACAGAGGGAGAGAAAGTCAGAGGTTACTTTTATCTGTGGGCTGTGTCTGTGGCCTTGGTTGCTTCCATTGTCTAGAACTTGGCTATAATTTCTGAACCATGCTGAGATTAATTCTTAATCACTAGTTGGCATTTTCTTTTATGCAGGTAGGATGAGGGACTTATAAGTAAGGGTTTAAACAAATGATGTGTTTTCTAGAAGGATGGAGCCCTATTGTCATTTCTTATAGGTCCTTTTCTCCCTCTTCCCACACCAGGCCTCTAAACTCTACTCTGTTGGTCCTGAGGGAGGTGGTTGTGACTGAGACGGTGGTGAGTAGGAGAGTATGGGGGACAAGGTTCACAGGCTTACTAGATATGAGGAAGAGGTGGGAAATATCCAGTCCTGGGAAAAAGGAGAGAGGAGAGGAGATAAGCAGGTGGGTGGGGGTGTGGGGTTGGGTGTGTGAAGGAAGAAAGAGAAGGTCTTCAAAGCTGGGCAGATGTCTGGACAAGAGGTGAATTGAGCAGGATCTCAGGTTTGCATCAAGGGAGGGAGGAAAGAAAGGTCAGGAAGAGGTAGATCTGGGTAAACTGAAAGACTCCTTCCAACTTCCTTGGACAAAAGAACATCAGCCAGCATCAGGTACAAGGTGACCAGTAATGGGGGGAGTCTAGGGGCAAAGCTGCAAGACTAAGGCAGAATTACAGGGACTGTGCAGCATTGGGAGGATGCTGAGAACTACAGACCTTTCCTATGGCCTTCCTGGTCTCATCTTGAGCCTTAACAGTTCTTAGACATGCCTACTCAGCAGTGCAATCACAGCTGGTCTTCCCAGGGCAGGGCATGGGGCAGGCAGCTCAGCAGGGACCATGGCCAGGGCAGAACCTCATGTGTTGTATGCATGTATCTGGACAGAGGTGACAGTGTTCAGCTGCTTCAGCAGTGTTCCCAAGCATCCTGATCGATGGGAGGTGATGGACCAGAGAGCTCCATGACAATTACCATCAGGAACAGGGATTCTCAGTGCCTCACCTACCCTAGAGCACAGAGCTCATCCAACAGAATTGAGTGATCAGCGCAGTTTCAGGGCATATGTCTTTGCCCCCCCAAATAAATCCCTTGAGCAGGAGAGTCAAGCCTTCCTCTACCTCTGCTGGGGTCCCTGTCATCCCTATCACATCTGGGGGATGGTTTCTGCTTCCCTCCACTTACTTTGGATATGCAAAGATTTCTCCCTTTAGCTATTCATTCACTTAGCAAAGATTTATTGAGCACCTACTATGTGTGAGGCACAGTCCCTTGCACTGAGAGTACTGCAGTGTATAAAAGAGCTGACAATGCTTCCCACCCTGGAGGTTGGCCAGGGGAAGAGGGATGTGATAGATATCAACTGATACAAAAGCTGTGCATTCCCATACCTGGCCCTGGAGCCCCTCTGCCCTCCTGGGAACACAAAAAAGCTGTGGTTTTTTGACTGGCTCACTGGAACTCATAAGGGTTTTTCCACTCCTTATATGTCCTTTATTTCCCTGCTGCTTCTGCCATCATTAGCTATTTGCCAATAAGCTTGTGTAGACATGCCTTAGCCCACTCATAACTAGAGAACTGAGATGAGAAAGGCCTGCAGGCCCAAGAACTTTGAGAACGAGTGAGCATCTGTTTTGTTAGTGAGAAAATAGCTACCCCTCATTTTGGCCAAGAGGAGCTCAGGTGGCCTAGTGGATAAAGTACTTGACTGCTAACCAGAAGGTCAGTGGTTCAAACCTGCCAGCTGCTCCATGGAAGGAAGACAGGGCGATCTACTTCTGTAAAGATTTACAGCCTTGGGAACTCAGTGGGGGTTGCTATGAGTCAGAAGCGACTCAATGGCCGTGAGTTTGGTTATTGTTTTTTGGTCATTGGCCAACTCTTTCTGGTGGCTGTGAGTCTATAAGAAGCAAAACTGCTCATGAGAAGAGAACAGCAGTCACCATTCAGAATAGTTGCATCATAACCTTAAGAATGTTGTTAGCTGCCATCAAGTCGTCCCAATTCATAGCGATCTCCTGCACAACGGTCCTGCACCATCCTCGTGATTGGTTGCAGATTACACCATTGTGACCCGTAAGGTTCTCATTTGGCTGATTCTTGGAAGTAGATCACCAGGTCTTTCTTCCTAGTCCACCTTAGGCTGGAAGCTCCACTGAAATCGATTCAGCATCATAGCAACATGTGAGCCTCCATTGAGAGATGGGTGGTAGTTGCACGTGAGGTGCATTGGCCAGGAATCAAACCTGGTTCACCTGAATGGATGTGCTACTTTCAGTTTGCTATTTTACTTTATAGCAAACTGAAATAGAGTCAGCAGTGAATTGAATGTATACGTTCTAGTGGGGTTGGGAAGAACAGTGGAGTGGGAGATGTTTTCAAGTTCCTATTTGTCTCCTTACCCTGCTGACATTGGTAGAGCACTCACTCTCAGATTCTAGGGACAAAACCATGATTTGAGCCAAAGGTCCTTTCTGGCTACCATTCTTTGATTTTATTATATAGATATGTATTTCCTCCCTGTTTATTGCCTTAAGAACTAACCCTGCTCAAGTGTTTGCCATTAGCTAGTTCAAAAAGAAAATTATTTTATTTAAATAAACATATACCTGGCCAAATGCAATGCTGAGGAGACAATCATATATCTTTTATGTTTTTTTTTTTTTTTTCCTTGCTTCTGAGTGTCCTTCTATAATACCAATAGGCTCATTCTGTTGGGTTGTTGGTTTTTTTCTTTTTTCCCCAGTATGGGTTAGTTGCTTTGGTTTGTCGTGGGGAGAAGCATTCTTATTGCAGCTACCTCCATGTAAGTGAGCTCCTGTATAAAGCAAGATTGCCTTTCAATAAACAGTGTCACCTAACTGGAATCTCGACTCCATCATTTTGACTCCCTTGCTTACTCCAGAGTTTGGTTCTTTATCCTCCAAGAAACTGCCATGGTTAATGGCTGGAAGTTACTGAAGGAAGTGGCATTTGGTGGAATTCCAGCCTCAGGGTCTGGTTTCTGAAATAGAAAGTTGGAGGTGAAGAGGCTTAACTGTGAACATTGGAGGCATTAATGGAGGTTTGTGATGTTCTGAGGAATCCAAACTGCACATTTCCAGAAAATAGCAAAAGAGGAAGTGTGTTGAATATTATTAACTAAGAGTAAATAGATATCCACTGTCTATTCCTACAATAAAATAGATTCTCCCATAACTACAGTTCACACATATTCTTTCTTGATCTCACAGCAGGTCAACGGCAGTTACCATCATCTTCATTTTACAGGAAACCAAAGCTACATCTCCACTGACGGGGCATATGTTGATCATTCTGGTTGCCCTCAGATCCATTCTCTGCTCAGAGCCTCTGGAAGGTGATCCCAACAGACAGACCCCCTGCTCCCTTTGTTGGGTTCAGAAGGTGGGAGCAGCCAGTACCTCTGTGGCCCCAGCTCTCGTGAGACATGGCTGGCCTTCCCTCTTCTCTCTTGTCTCATTTTAAAAGTGGTAATGGCTTCCTGCTGCTGTTCTCTCTGGGTGCCTCAACAGCCTTGGGTTTCCTCAATGCTGCTTGCCCTCTAGAGCAGCCCTAAGCACTAGGCCCTTTGAGCCATCAGCGTTGGATGCTGTTCTGCAGGGACCTTGACTGAGGCGGGGCACAAAGAAGCCTTGAGCACGGGTCTCTGGACTCCCAATTCCTGAGCCACTGCCACTGCTCTCCTCACTGTGCCCCAGTTAACATCAACACCTGTTCTCCCAACGACCCTGGAGCCATGCTTAATCCCCTTCTTTTAACTAAAATGAGCATCACAAATTAAATGAGATTTTCTAATGTTAATCAGTTCTCAAAGGCTTTGCATAAATCCTATTTGCCTTTTTTTAAGTAAGTTCATTGATGTATAGTTGACATATAGTAAAAGCCACCCTGTTTGGTATCATTTGCTTTTGAAACTATTTGAGCCCCATTATCTGGCCTCTCCACTAGCATCCTAAGGGTACAAATGAGATCCAAGAGAGGTTGCTTCCCTTCTCTCAGGCCTGTGGGAGAAATGTGACTCAGGAGGTGCAGAGCCAAAGGGAAAGTCCTTCCAGGCCTGCAGCTGATTTCCTCTGCATTCTTGGCATTCCTTCTTTGAACTTATGGATAGTTATAGTAATCTTGTCTTTGTTGGAAGACTGTAATTAGCCAGAAATTTTTCTGTTCTGAATTTTCAAATGACAAGAACAAAGGATGCAACAGCAAGTTTCTATCAGAGGCTTAACTGCTAAAAAGCCACAAATTCCAGACTTTGCCCAGGGATCAGCATGCCTCAGGCCTGCTGAGGACAGGGTGCTAAAGATCACCAATGACACTCACACATGCCTGAGGCCCAGTCTAGGCCT